CACTACGTTCTATATCACTACTTGAAAACACTCGTTGGCCAAACGAGTGTTGGTTACCCTCTGGTTATTACCAGGATATTCACGAGAAATCAATCACCCTTTCGTGATGTTACAATGTAAAAGCAATGGATTGTCACACTCGAAACGGAACGGAACAGTGTTATATGACCATGAACAGCGGACAATGCTAACCGAAAACACTCATATAATATCAAATAAAAAACACCAGTTGGCGAGCGTACGAAGCCTGATGACATTTACTAGGTTTACACAGCAGCATTTTAGCGGAGCTAATACTGTTCCTTCTGCCTATTAACACCGTGCGTGTACACAGTTGGGCCGTGTTATAATTACAAATTATATCGACTCCTCAGGTGCTATGATTTGAATGGAACGTAATTTGATGAAGTCGATGGAGGGCGTGATTTCGGCCCCTGTCCGTTTATACAGTCATGGCTATCCATATCGGAGCCAAGCTCCGAGAATTTATCGAAGCCGAATCGGCTTGAGCTGGTCTTTTCCCACAGGATACTGTTAATTATATTTGAACATACAAGAATCTGTGTTGTCTCCGTGTTGTCGCTTCCGGTGAAGGGTTTTTGCTTGGGAAATACAACGGTTTTATATCGACTAATTACTATATGTTTGATTGACAACAACACATAAATAAAGCCAAACAAAACAAGCAATCTTATTTATAATTTACATGCACTCACTACTTTGTATCATTTGCATAAATTTCAAATTTTGGCACGAAATTGATTATTTGAAAACGAATGCGCATTTGTGAATTGCAACATTGCGCGCTGCCAAAACAATAAATCATATGCAAATGGACTATGCGCATTGAATATCCATTACAGACACGAAAGCACATTTAAAATGGAATTCGGACATCAATGAAATATATAAAACTTCAGTCACAATAATTTACTGCTTGTGATGTCACGTTATTATAGTGACCCAATAATGATTTATATCGTTGTTAGAGGTCGTCGTCTACTCTCCGACATATTCCTAACAACGGCCGACATCTGACTCACAGCCAATCCTTACTCGGTTGGACATTAATCATGATCGCAGTTACTGGAAAGAAGACACAAACTTATCCATTTAATATGTTTGAATATACCAGATAGAATTGAAATTAATTCAATTTAAGTCGATCAGCAGTAATGTGTTCCATAACACATGTCATCATTACGAAAAAAATAATTCACATGAGTATATCAAAATTTCAGTTATTTGTGGATTTGCATTTTTCTGATATATTAATGACGTGTCTATGCATAATGTCAGTTGTCAGATAATACCACGATACAGACTTCCCATTTTGCCAATGTGAAAATCTTTCTTTTTTATTCAGAAAAATACAGTATTTTCACCAAGTATAATCATATTTGTTAAAGTTATTGTTCAATATGAGTTGTTGAACACACTACATAGTTTGTAATTTCATTCAGCTTCTTTCAGTCTTAATTCAAGACAAATAAAATGCTAAAATATAGAGAATATAAAAAATAACAAACCGTTTGTATTATTCTTGTGTAGTCGGTAAGCATGACAACAATTTAGTTATTCTTAATATATTTCTGAATTTTCTCAAAAAAACTTGTTTCCATTTTTTTCGAAAAAAACGAAAGACTTTCACAATGTTGAAAACGGAAAGTCTTTATCGTAGTATAGTGTTAGATGTTATCACATCATAACCACGGCTTTGTTAGGTGACCATTTAGAATTACGAATATTTAATTTTCTCAAAATGGCGATAACGTCTATGCAATAGACTGTTGCATCATGTCGTCTTTGTTTACATATTTACCAACCAAGCCTTATACAAAATATCGATCACTGATCAGCACTAGCTAACGATTTTTTGGGATAATGTTGTCGATAAATAGATTTAAAAGGAAAACATACATATATATTTAATAACAACGACAACGAACAACAGCGTCTAATTGGCAAATGTATTTACTTTCAGAAACATGAATTGAAAGTTTCGAAAGAGTTTCAGTATTTTACGTTTTTATGCTAATTTTGGAATCTATGTATTTGAGAAATTTGGTTATATTTGTGTTTTCATATTAAAATCACCCAATCACTGAATTTTTCAAGTTTATCAGAACTATTGAACTATCAAATTTCTACAGCCAAGCAAAGTGAATTCATAAATGATAAACATAAACTTGATATAAATAAATAAGATTGTAACCGCGGCGATTACAATACGCATATGTAACGCCGAAAAAAAAAACACACGAAAAAATACAACATCGTTTGTTTACAGCTAATTCGATTGTGACTCTTTATAGAATCAGGAGTAAACACTGGATAAATATAATGAATATAATACCACGCTTTTCCTACTCAACTATTAAGTGTTCTGTGAATCGTCGACCGATAGTGCAAACTTACAAACTGTCGTCTTCACGTTTCGTTATCAGTAGATTACACATTCCGCGACGAAAAATGTAGCGAAATAAGCATTTTGGCTCATAACACTATCAAATCGGTGCATATATCGACTGTGTGCTTGTTTAGTTTACAAAAAAAACATAGTTGATGCCGTGCCGATT